AATTTGGCTGGAATGTTGTAGATAGTTTAATGGACTATTTGGGATACTAGGTGAATATAGAGTCAGGCTTCTGTCAGGAGATTGTATCGAGACAATATCTAGGGATGTTTCCATAGGAGCTTTTCCTTTGGATTGTATGGTATTGGTATTCATGATTTGATTCTCAATTGCTCTATTTTTATTGAATAATATTAATGGTAGAGATAATTCAGGTGGATCAAAGCGATCAGTGTAGCCCTCCCTGCAAAAATTCACGGAGGAGAAAATCATGAAGGTGATTAGTAGAACCTTTGAGATGTTCAATAGAAAAATTGAAGGATGATAAAATTGCTTGCCATCTGGCAAAAATTTGTTTCGAAACCAAGTTTTGCACGTCTTTTTCAAGAATATCTTTGGCAGCTTTGCAATCAGTGCGAATGAGAAAATGAGTATTTAAAATATCACTTTGAAATTTGGTAACACAATGTACAATAGCAAGTAGTTCTTTTTTTACAGTAGAATAATTTTGTTGGGTAGAATTCCAGGCTGTTAATGTATATCATACCAATTGTTCAGTGGTGTTAATTCTTTGATTTAATATTCTTCCTAATCCTAATTCAGATGTATCACATTCAATTATTTTGAAAGTATTAGGTTGGGCTAAAGTTAAGCAAGGTAACTCTTTTGCTTTGAGTTTAATTTTTTGTACAGCTTGGGTATGTTCATTTGTCCATTTGGGAGGATTCTTTTTAAGTCTATCATATAGTGGTTTAGCATCTAATGCTAAATTTTCATAGAAATCAACTATATAATTAAACAACCTAAGAATCTTTGTAATTCTGTTTTATCTAATATAATATCTGGAAACTTATCAGCAAATTGAATAGATCGTTCTATTGGAATAATTGTTCCATGACGAATATGATGTCCTAAGAATCTAATCTTAGTTTGGCATATATTAATCTTTTTAGCAGAGACTAGTAGTTCTGCATGTTTAACTGCATTAATAAAAACATTAATATGTTTAAAATGTTGATCTATATTTTCAGAGAATACTAAGACATCATCAATATAGACAATCATGAATGTATAATATGGATTGAATACTTCATTCATAATCTTTTGAAATTTTGATGGAGCATTTTTTAGGCCAAATGCCATCACATTCCATTCGTATTGTCCGAAATGGTACATTGAATGCAGTTTTATATTTGTCTTCTTCTTTTATATGTATTTGCCAATATCCTGATTTTAAATCAAATTTAGAGAAAATTGTAGCCTTGGCTAATCTGTCTAATAAATCTTTTTTATTTGGGATTGGATATCGTATCCATTGAAGAACTTTATTTAATGGTTTATAATTTATTACTAACCTGAGCACACCTCTTTCTTTTTCAGCATTTTTATTGATATAAAATGCAGCACAGCTCCAAGGAGATGTACTTGGTCTTATTAAATTTTTGGCTAATAATTATTTTATTTCATTTTGACATGTTTCTAATAAAGTAGAATTCATTTGGACAGGTCTTGCTTTTGTTGGTATTTTTTATTCTTCAAATCCAATTTCATGTGGCAATTCTACAATGTGGTTTTTCCTAGTCCAAAAAGCATTTGGTATTTTACTACAAATTTCTTGTTCAATCTTTTGTGTTATTTGTTTAATTTGGTTTTGTATTTCTTCTTTTTGTAATGCTTCTTCAGTATTTCTTTAAAAAATTTCTTCTTTTAATGAATACAAAAATGGTTCTTTATTTTGAATAATTGTTTTAACATTATTAATTTCTTTAAGTTTGGGTTTATCAATGAACTCAAATAAGATTTTATTTCCAGCTATAGAAGTTTCTATTCCTTCATGAGTTATTAATATTGGATATAATAGAGTAAGAAATGGAACTCCTAATATTACTAATTGACTTAGTCTTTTTACCATAATAAAGGGTGTAGGAAAACATTGTTATTTATTACACACTACAGCATAAGATAATTTAAATTTTATAAATAATCTACTTCCATCGGTTGTATTTAATATTTGAGTAG